AGGAATGCCTCAGAAGTGGAGCAGAGGGAGCTTGAGGGCTTCTTCCTCATCTTGCTGAAAGTACTGAATCATCAGGCCCACAGATAGGAGAGAGGTTTGTAAAGATTCTCACAGCCTGGAAATCGCACTGCCTTAACTTCAGTAAAAATGTCCTTGCGCATACCCAGCTGGCATTGAAGTGAATAAAGCTTCACCACTTTGGACCTGCTGAATATGTGATCTTTTGTGCCAGTTAATTACTCTAATTTAAAACATCCTTAGGTATACATCTGGCTAGGCATGATATTCTCAATTTCTCAAGATTGATTATATCTTAATAGAAGGAATGCCATTTCCACATGCTCATGCAGCTATTTCTCCTGTGCTTCAGCACACCACTATGATAATCATACGCATGGAAAGCTATCAGTACAAAATTGCCTAGGCATTTTTATTACAGTATTTTAGGGTGGTTAAATAGGAAGAGGATGGAGAAGATGCTTCTGAGGGTGGCATTCTGTCTGGTGAATTTTACCAGACAGAAGTTCAGAGTCTCATCTATGTGAATAGTTTAGATTTTCTCTAGATTTTCTGTCTAGAGAAATGGGCACCACCTGATGGGAAGGGGGTGCCCATCCAGGGACAGGTATAATGAAACATCCTGCTGAGGAAGCAGAGGGCGAGTTAGACAGAATGTTTTGGACGGTAAGGTTAGGAGCGGTGAGCAAACAGCTAGCTCTTCGTAGAATTTCTCCCAGCGCTCAGGAAGTAAGACTGTAGGTTTTCTCTGGAAGGAAAGGTGTCTGTCTCCATCCATCCGTCTCTTTCGTTGTTTATACGTCTGCAGATTCCACAGATGAAGGGAGGCAGGCTCCAAACAGCCCCTCTCAGTTGTCATTTGAAAATTTTCCAGTATGTTAACTGAGAACCCTTACGTTTCTGCAGCACTTCTGGTATCTCAGAAATGGATTTCTTTGGAACAGAAATTGCCAATCTTGGTGATATGGTACAAGATGAATTTGACTTCTGATTGGAATCACATTTCCACTAAAAACAAATTAACCCAACTTATAACTCAACACACAACTCAAACTTTAAACAAAGATGTCTAAGTATTATTATTTTAATAATTGTTTCCCACTAGCTCCTATTAATTTTCTTGATCCTTTGAAATTCTTGGGTCCAGACAAAAACATTAACTATTATGAGAGAAGCATGAATAACAGTGTTATTTGCATGGCCAAACTTAGGGGGAACTTGAAAGTTTTGTAAGAGATCCTGTTTTCCTGGAATTTCCAGGCCCATTTCAGACCTCCTAAAGTCTGTATGAGCTTATCTCAAAATTTTCACTCTGTGTTTCGGAGATAGAAGGGTCTTGTGTTAACCCCAGGGTGCTCTCTAGTCATCCTTTGCTCATTTCTTGAGTTCTTTAAGCAATAATTTTGAAAGAAAACTTTTGTAGTTGGTGAGAATATCTTGACTACAAAAAAAAAGAAAAAATAGTTTGTATTATAATTGATGGATTTAGGGCAGGGAATCTAAATATAGCTAACTCTTACAGTTTTTAAGTTGGGACCTCTGTGACCGATCTGTTAATAAGAAATTGGAGAGAGGAAACTCAAATCCCGTGGGAAATTAAAATTGTAGAAGTACTCTATCTATGTTTAATCTGAAAGATATTTCACATATGTGGGGCTAAATACAAATATAATATAGCTATAATGTTTTCTTTCTATAAAACATGATTTTAAAGGGCTTTAAGAAACATCAAGTTAATAAGATCTGGGACCGTTTTTGCCCTTTTGTGTGAGTTTTAGAGGGTTGGCACAAAACTGGATATTCCCAGAGTGAGGAACCAATAAAAGTCCTTATTTTGTTTGCCATGTACATATTGGAAGCAAAAAGGATGTTATATAGAGAAACGGACAGCATTACCAAAGGGTGGTTGAATTACTGCCTCAGTGCTCCATCAACATACTCACCAGTTCTTGAAATAGTTGCTGTCCAGCCGATGCACGGAAAATGCCTGCTCGTATCTGAACAATTCTTAGCTCCTGCACTTTTTCCCCAGGAAACAGCAAAAAGCATTCAAACAAGCAAACTGTCACCCCACATACGTTTCTGGGTTGGGTTATCGGTTCTACTGGAATAATTACAAAGGAGTCAGCAACAACTGGAAGCAGAGAAGCTTTGGAATGGAGATGCATAGAAACATACATGTTGAGAAAAAAAGATTGTCATAAATGTATTCCTGGCTTGCTTGGGGTGGTTAGGGAACTGGGTGTGTTAGCGCTTTGTCCAGTGCAATCTAACAAACATACCGCAGAAAAACACCTGCCTTCCATGGCCACCTTCCTAGTTTGCCCATTTGTGACTTTATTCAGCCTTAGGGGTTTTTTTTCCTTCTTGATTTTGACTGTCTAGCCTCTCTTATTTAGTAAAAGTTCTCCACAGCTGTGACTGGAGGAAAAAAATACCCACTTCTATCCAGGTAACATAAATAATAGCAGTAAAAACTAATTAACAGAGTTCCATAAGAGAAGTTACTGACTCCTTCCTCAGTTTTCCTACCCAAAATTGCTTAACTTTGGGGGCAGTAAGTTTTAAAGCAGGAGCAACAGACAGAAGTACATGGAAGTAGCTAATCAGTCCCTAATCAGTGATCAGCAGCATCACTGGAGAGCTCGAGGCTGGGTTTTAGTGGGAACAAGCTTTGTTACATCACAGGACACTGTTGGTATTTCTGTGGGTTATTTCCACTCCCAATCCTCAACATGTATATCTCCTTTCCATTTGTCTAAAAATAAAAAAGCGTGCTTCCCCCAAAGAGTGGGGAACCAATAAAAGGCATGATTTCATACTGGGTTTGACTGAAGGGCCAAGGAAGGGTTCTGTAGAAGCATACTCAGTTTTAAGATCTGTATGGTCTCTAACAGCTGGTATCTTTTACTGTCGGCAAAGTCATCATTGGATATTCTCCTTTTAATGTTTATGCCCAGCTGCGTGCTTGCCTGAAGCAATTCTCTCAAACATGTATACAAAAGCTTCAGTAGCTTTTTTCATTGAATTTCAGTAAAGCAGTGAACGCTCTCTTTTACCCTGTGAAATGGAGTTTGATATCATGACTGGGGCACGCAAAAGTGGGTCAGACTCTTTAAATTCATGTTCAGTTTGTTCATTTCGAACTTCTTGGCTTATCTGGAATCATTTGCCTTGGGGAATTTTTGGAGTCTCCATCACTAGAGGTCTTTAAAGTCAGGTTAGACAAACAACTGTCAGAAGTGATACTGATGTGGCATGGAGATATGGATGGAAGAGAAGGTGCATTAAGGACCCTTCCTGCCCTATTTCTGTAACGCTAATCAGAAAAGCCCAATTTTAAGATTTTCTTTTGCTAAATGCTGGCCTGATTCTGCTCTCATGCAGAGGTCAGTTGGGAATAGCTGCTTAGGGAACTAAGACAAATTCAGTACAGGAGATCGGAAAAGGGACTTTTGAAGGGCAAGTGTTTAAAAAAAGAAAAGAAAGGTTAAGAAGGGAAGTAAGATTGTAGTGGTACCTGGGTTCTGTGGTACCAAGCGCACTTGTCCCATTCAGACTGTGAGTATGCTACTGGTGTGAGACTGAGATCGTTAGCTCACGTCAGTGACACTTAGCAGTTAATGGATCCAATACGGATCAGTAATTTCTTTCACGTTTCCTGCCTCCCCCAACCCTTGAACCCTCAACACTTCCCTGAATGGGGGCTCTACTCAATGTTAATACACAATGTAAACAGGAAATACCCAGTCTCGCCCCAAGTTTAGAGTGTTGCTAATGCTTTCACGATGTTAAGAAACTGATTTTGAGCTCACTTTGCTATACTAACTTTATGGCATATATTCTTTGATGTCCAGGGAGTAATGCTGGTGTAGATGGTCTAAGAAGAACCACAGCTCATGCATAACTGTAGGTCTTTTAAGATATGCAGTAATCTGGCTGAAGCAGGGGAGCTTCAGGTAACTCTGAATAACTTTGTTCCAGTACGTTAACCAATACCAGCACGTCAGTCTGAGTCAGTATGTGCCGTTTCTGCTGAGTTACTGTCCAAAGGACCAGAGTGGCTGTCTAAGTCTAGGGTTGCTAGAAATCAGTACAATCGTGCATTGTTTGTAATATAAACACCCTTATATGCTGCCAGCTGGAAGCATAGGATATTTTTATCTAAAGCTTGTTGAGGTGGAAAGTGGACTCAAAATAACTATTCCTAAGTTGCTCATGGTATTTTGTTCCAGAGTAAGACAACTTTATTCTAGGTATCTAATCTACCCTCAATTCATTTCACATGAAACACTTTTAAGTGTTCCCACACGGGAAGATTATCAAGACTTGGTGCTGACCTTTGAATTCACAGCCTGCTATCCTCCAAATTAATTTCCATGTATAGATAAATCCTTAGAACTGGACAACCCCACAAATGGTATAATGGCGCCTTTTTGTTGGCATGTTATTCCACAGATACAATTTGAGAAAGAACTTTTTGGTTCTGCTACAAGAATGAGTTTTTGTGCTATTTGTATTTCAACTGAAATTTGCCATTGTCAGTTGACAAGTTCTCAGTATATTGGCCCTGGCAGCAGAGCATCAGTGGCCGAACTTGGTATATCTGGTTTATTATGTTCCTATTGTAATAGTGCTTGGAGATCAGGTCTCTTATGAACAATAGCAGTAGTGGTCCAGTCATCCAGGGCTTTCTATCCCGGACGACCTAAAAGTTGTAACAGAGCCTAATTAAGCTGTTACTGAGACCTGCAAGGATGCTATCAAACTGAAATCTGCCAAAGGCATAGATATAGCTGGTACTGACATAGCATATTAGAATCACAGAATTATTTAGATTAGGAAACACCTTTACAGTCATCAAGTCCAGCCGTTAACCTAGTACTGCCAAGTCCACCACTAAACCATGCCCCTAAGCACCACATCTACGCGTCTTTTAAATTCCTCCAGGGATGGTGACTCAACCACTTCCCTGGGCAGCCTCTTCCAATGACTGACAACCCTTTCGGTGAAGATTTTTTTCCTAATTTCCAATCTAAACCTCCCCTGGCACAACTTGAGGCCATTTCCTCTTGTTCTGTCGCTTGTTACTTGGCAGAAGAGACCAACACTCACCTGGCTACAATCTCCTTTCAGGTAGCTGTAGAGAGCAATAAGGTCTCCTCCGCCTCGGCCTCCTTTTCTCCAGGTTAAACCACCCAGTGCCCTCAGCTGCTCTTCTTAAGACTTGTTCTCTAGACCTCAGTTGTCTCTAGACAACTTGAGTGCAGATTTCGTGTACTGGAAAAGATAAGGAAACTTGTAAGTGGATTAGGTCTTTGTTGCTGGACCTATATGACCTATATTAAGTAGCGTTGCCGTAGAATGCTTTCATGCTGGTTATATATATGCACCTGCCTCGCTGTCTCACCCCCCCAGAACCATAGTGTGCCTCTGTCGCTGTTCGAAAGTGAAGTTTGAAAAGATTAATGTGGTGTCAGTTGTTACAAAAAATAGCAAATGTCTGAGTATGTATCATTTTTATCTTCTTCACTTTACGTGTGGTCTGGGCCAACCTTTTAAATACCAACTGCACACTGCATGGGTGCTGCCCTGGGGCTCATCATGCTACTGCTGCAGTGGTCCAGAAACGTTCATGACAGTCTTCCTCACAGCCTACAGCAGTCGTGCCCTGTTGTACAGCATGGGAACTGAAGGCTAAAGAAAAGATTTTAAAATGTATTGATTTAGGGTGTTTGGTTTTTAGAAAATACCCTTCCCCCGCTTCTCTTCTCCCACTTGTGCTCATTGCTCACTGCTGTTTTGCTTTTCAAACAGGATGGTTTCTTCCTCTTTCCACATGACTGAGATACTGGGAAACACTTTTCTTGCTCTCAGCTCAGCGTGCACAATGAATAACTGAGAGGAAATTATACTAAACAGATTCATGGGAAATTTGTAGGATTTAAGGGAACTAAAATCACAACACTGTAGCCAAACCACACATGTTTCCAAGGAGGTATAATTTTCATATACTTGTTCTGACAAGAATCATAAAGCAAGGGTTCCAAGCTAATAGTAAATCAAAAAACCGTACATTGCCTTTATTTTCTGCTGTCCTTCTAAAGTAGGATCGCAGGCTCTTGCTTCCTATATCAGTGTGTACTGAAAGTTTAATTTTCAGACAAAAATCTAAACACAGAAAGTTTTAAGAACAGACACTGCTCACACTAATAACGCAGGGGAGGGAAGCACTGTCCACTGAAGCTAAAAACCAGTCAAATGCACATATTCCCACTAGATCATTTCAGAGCACCAGAATTCTTTGACTAATGAAATAATAGTTCATATTTGAGCAAGAAGAACAATTTCTGAGCACTGACTATCAATAGAGCATAACTAATGTGTTTTTATCTTGGAAGCCCATACATGCACTAATCGTTGAAACTGTGCCTAATTTGAAATCTGTGGTGTTAACTCCTTCATCACTATTCCGATTTCTCATCTAATTGCCAGATTTAAAGGGAGTAACATAGTAAGCTTCCACAGCGCTGGAATATCTTGGTTTTGGAGATAGTGCACATAACCAGTGATGGGAATACTGTAGCTATGGACGCCAAAGTAAACATGCCATAGTCTCAGATTCAAAAGTATTTAGGTTTCAGACTAAGCTGAACTTTGCAGAAAATAGAAACCTAACTTCCTAATGGGAGGGTAAAGAGAAGACAGAGTCAAGACTTCTTTTTGGACATGTACAGTGAAAGGATGAGCGGCAAAATGGGCACAAGCTGCACCAAGAGAAATTCCAATTAGGTATTAGGAAGACATTTTTAAACATGAAAGTAGTGATGCATTGCAGCAGGGGCTCAGAGAGGTTGTGAAATATCCATCAAAACATGTCTGGACAAGGTCCCCAGTAACCTTGTCTAATTTGGCTCTGCTTTGGGGGTGGGGATTAAACAAGATGCCTTTCAGAGGTTTCCTTCAACCTTTTGTGATTTGAAAATATACAATAGTAGCAAACTTAAGATTTATGTCTAGAGTGCAAAATTAGTCTGAAAGGAGAAACTGAAATTGAGTTACTGTTCCCAAGGCTTTTTGTTTAAACTTCAAAATATATTCTGAATTATTTGCATTTTATCAAAGAGAAATGCTTCAGATCCATATTGACATAATTGAGGCAAGAATCAGTCTTTCAGCTGTTAAACAGTATCAAATCTTTTTTTGTTTTGTTTTCTTTTTTTCTTTTAGCTTACCTTCAATCTAATCAGGTCATGGGCTGGGGAGAGAAGGCGATCGAACTACGCTCTGTGGAAACGGGAAATCTGGAAGGAGTATTTATGCACAAGAAAGCTCAGAAGCTAAAATTTCTATGTGAAAGAAATGACAAGGTACAGAGATGACTACAGTGTGGTGATTTAGCAAAAACTGGGTAATAGTTGACTATGATGCTAAGACTATTTAATTTTTGTAACTTTATTTTTACATTGGTTATTTCTCACCTTAGTATAACTTCCCCACTCAAAGCAAATGTAGGCACTGACCCCAGAAAGCATTCACTATGGACGTTCCTCATTTTCACACCACTGTAGTTTAGCCAGCTCTGTTACAACTCCTATTCCAGCCAGCCTTAACTGCTATCAGAGCTGATAACAAATAGAGACATTGCTAACTGGCCCAGCTCCAGCACAGCAGGTGCAGTGGGGATGGCTAGTGAGCCAGCCCTGATAATGCCCAACTCTAGGACTGCCTCTCCTGGGCTGCTGAAATTATAGGCAATTCAGAGCAGCCAGCAGGGAGAAAAAAACACACTCTAATATTTCAGATATTGCAGGCACTAGGGTATGGAAAATCAAATATGATTTCTTGCATATAGCAGTTCTTGATAAATGTTCTGTGAAACCTGCTTAGTCCCACTGATGTATTTAGAAAACTGGGACCCCAAAACTGTTTGCATTAATTATTTTAAAATGTTCTCTTGTGTCTTTCTGAATAGGAAAAGAAATATACAAAAAAATATATTCCTATTGTACCACAAGCACAGTTTCACTTTAAAAAGTTACTCATGGGATTAAAATTGAATTGTGAGATATATATCCTTGTAGGGGCTGTGGCATGGGTAAAAATATTCTTCTAAATGTAAACTGACAGTAGCATATCTTTTTTTTTTTTTTTTCCCTTTTAAGGTGTTCTTTGCATCTGTGCAGTCAGGAGGCAGCAGTCAAATATACTTTATGACTCTTGGTCAAAATGTACTATTCAACTGGTAAATCACATCAAAATGAAGGATGCTTTGAAATTCACTGTAGGTAGCAGTGTAAAATGCTTGGAGGTAATATACACAAATTTGCACTTTTTACCTACAAAGGTTTTGCCATTATTAACTTATCAAAATTCATATTCTTTCAATTTGGAAAGAATTCCATTTTCCTGTCAAAGTACTGCAAACATGTTTAGTTTGTCTTCTAAAATATGTTGCAAACCAAGATTGTATTCACAGTGTTAGGAGAGAACAACTTCAGTGAAGAATGTAGCCAATATAAGAAACTCCTGAACTCTGAAAAATGTACAGTTTCATTTTTGCAGATGATGTAATATAGTTATCTTGAACTGAAGTCTCTTCCTTTTTTGGACAGCAACATCTGCAGGTAGATATAAAACCACAAGTTGGCTGACAAATTGGAATCTAGTTTGAACTGGTTTTTGGCTTGTTTTGCATTTTAAGCAAGCTGGTACTGTTTCACCAAGACTCACTTGTCCAAGTCTTATCATCAGTGAAACAGCAACTGTTTACGATGGGGCCTAACGCGGATTGGGGCGCTTAAGGGATCGTATCCTGTGCTGGGTGCATTTCCCTGCAGAGCTGTAAAAGCAGCTACTTGTAGACATGTGCCCCATCTGGTAGATTTTACAAAATGCAGGGGACAGAATTCACGTTTCTCTCAGGGCTGGATGCCTGAGCCTGTAGACACAGTAACTGTAGAATGTATTTGTAAAAATAGTTTAAATAGTGGTTTGTCAAAATCATATATGCAAAAAGCATTATGGACCTGAACCTGTTTTATTCAGATGTGCGATCCACACTTGTAGGAGCTGATTTAAAGGCATTACCCATGTATATAAGGGCGTAGGATCAGGCACCTTCTTTTCTTCCCTCCTTGCTCTTTCAGCATCAAGTCTTCATGTATTTGTGTGTAAATCTAATCTTTCCACAACAGATGTTAAGATTAACAAATGTATTCTTAATGTAGTTATGAAAATATCCAAAGAGTTAATCTATTATAAATAGAAAATATAATTTCAGGTGCTTTCTATGCTAATTACATCTAAATAAAGCTGCATCCACTAGTGTTATTGGTGCCAGTGTTTCTGCATAAACTCTGTTCTCAGGGGCTTGTAACTTGGCCATAAAACTATACAGATATAATATATATACATTATATATAATCATATACTATGATTAAATTGTAGGGTTTAATGGAATCCTCATTTAGCTGATTTTTGGATGTGCTTTGAAAATGTAAAGCATCAAAAGTAATACAAAAGAACTCATTCCAGACATGATACAGTATGGATGACACTGTAGGCAAAAGAGAAATCGCTAGCTACAGTGTTTGAAAATAGGTATTTTTTACTTGAAATATATGATACTGAAAGGTGCAGGGAAAGTGTGTTGGAATATCTGGTCGTCTACCTCAAGAATGATGATTCAAAGTTGACTAAGAAGGGGAGAAATAAAATTGTAGCTGTTTTGTACAGTATGTCAGGTTGAGTTAGTGTTAGCAGTCGTGCTGTGACTGAGAGGTGCTCCGATTGCACCCATCAGCTCCAGAACTGGTATCCTGGTATATGTCAGCAGAGAAACTAAGGGCTAATCACCCTTCCCTCCTTGGCACCTCAGCTGCTGCAGGGAGATCAGAGATGCCTGTGCTGTTGCTGTCTGTGTTCTTTGGCTGTGTGGAGGACTGCACTTTCCAAAGTTATTAACCTAGCACTTTTCATGAGCACTAGCTTATCTCAAAATGTATAGTGTTTTCAATGAAGTATTTTGCTTTTAAATGTTTTGACTTGCAGAAAAATAAGCCTAAGGCCATATTAAAAAATATGTGCAGTTAAATACTCAAAGTGGTTCTTAATGTATGCAAGTAATCAGCTTGTGTGCAGACTTAATATCTGAATGGTATACTGTGCTCGGGCAGAGCTGTGTGAAAACAGAAGGTCTCTCTCTGTTTGTAGTAATGTTACTACCGGTTGCCAATGCTAGGACTGGGGCAAATAAGCAAAACATGGCTTGGCTCCCTTTGCTACCGAACACTGGGCTTGTTTTGTTCAAAGTTCACCAAAAAAACCCCAACAAAAACCAAGCAAACCCAAACCTCTAACAGAAGAAAGTTACAATTACAGGCAAAAAATAATTTGCAGACAATCAGAAATACAACTGACTTTTGACTTAAAAAAAAAAGTCTAAGAGACTGTGAAGAAAGAACAGCTTTCATTTTGTACTCTGTAGGTGTGCAAAACTGCTCATGCTATAAGCAATCAGTTATCCAGGCTGCCGTATAATATTTTTTAAAGCGTGCTTTTCTCAGCAGCTTCTGCATTACATGGGACGCATATGAATTTTTTCCCTCTCCCATTTTGGTGTTAACAGGTAGGAGGCAGATTTTTCCTGATGCTAGGCACTAGTTAAAAAGAATTTAGCAGAGAACAGTGGGAATTTAGAACAACCCATACCAACAGATTAAAGAAGCAAATATGATCAAATTTGTTTAATATTATTGTTACAGAAAAGTGTGACAGCAAGTTGACAGACTGTAAAGATGTTTAGCTCCATACCAAGAGGGGAAAAAAAAGCAAGTTCAAGAGAAGGAAAGTGTACTATTACATTGAGATTTTAATTTTTCATTCTGTTTCCCTCTATTAGCTCTCTGTTCTTTCCAGCGATGATTCAAGGCAGTGGGTTGGATTTTCATGTATCACTTTGCATGTAAAACCGTTGGAATTATTTGGGTTAGATCCATGTGTAAATATGGAAAGAATGAGGCCCTTAGAGGTGAATGCTTTTAAAGGACTTAGAAGTGGTATTGCAAATAGCAATAGCAACAGCAACTGGATGCAACAAGATGACACCGGCATTTTCTCTTTATCAAGAGAAAATCAGAATGGTTGAAGATGAGAAAGAGCCCAGAGATGTTGAGAAGAGTGACTGAAGAGGAGGAAAAGGCTGAAGAAAATAAATAGGAGTAGTCAAAGGGGAGGGAGTGGATGTCTGGAACAGTGTATTGCTGTAGGAGGAATAAAAAAATGTTAAGAGATGTTAAGCAAAAGAAAGTAACCAAAGAAATGGAAAGGTATCATCTGGAGTGGCCGGGTGGTCTGAACACTGAATGAAAGTGTGTTCTGAATAACTGTTCAGCTCAAAGCAAAAGTTCAAAGGCTGGAAGAAAAAAATAAATTCCAGAGACCCAAGTTTATCCTGACATAGATTTAACTATGCAAAATGTGTATCAGATTTGTAGTTTCATTTTGTG